ATTTATATCACCCCAATTTTTTTTTCCTAGAGAAAATATTGCTGGAAATCTAAGTTTGGTATTGCAGATCCTCTGATGCGGTCAGTGAAAGAGATATGAATCTCTACTGCAATGAGCATTTTAAGTGACCAGTAAGTCCTCTTTCTGATTTGTTGCTTTATGCATAATTACAGCCCATGCACCTTGGAGAGTGTCATACGTTGCATAATGATTATGCTAAAGATTTTATATTAAATTAACTATGTTGTGAGCTGATAAATGAACACATTATAATACACTTACTTCATCTTCCATCTCACCCAAAGAAAATCTTGACATTAAGCTCACCCATTTGCTACTTAAGCTGTGCATGCTTATTTTTACAGCAATGTGTCAGACATACACATTTACATATAGCAGGATGTAGAAGAGATTTCTGATAGCCTGAAGATCATCAGGACCACAGCTAAAAGCCACTAGAGACAGGGCCTTTCTTGATGCTGCTGCTGCTGCTGATGATGGCGATGGTGATGGTGATGACAATGACTACTATGAATTTCATAGCTTACTATGTGCCAGGCACTGTTCATATATATATGTATATTCATTTCATTCTCCTAAAACCCATATGAAGTAGGTACAATCATCATGCCTATTTTACAGATGGGAATGCTAAGGCTCAGAGAGGTAAAGCCATTTGACGGAGGAGGGATGAGCACCCTTTGCATGTATGTGTGTGTCCTGCAAGAGGGAGGGAATTTAGTGCAGAGGAAGATGTTCAAATTAGCCTAAAATAGAGTTTATAGTTGAAATCTACCACTTAGCTCTGTTGTTATTACACTATCCTATTGTCAATGATTAACAAAAGAGCCACTGCGTCTTTAAACTATTCAGTGCTAGGAGTTCCCAAGTGAAATTTCACCTCTTCTCTGTGTGTGTTTGTGTGTGTGTGTGTGTCCACTGATCATCAGCTTAAAGCACAGGGCACTGTGGATCTCCCCAAGTTGATGCTAGTCTAATAACATACTCCTCTAAATTTTATTTGGCTCCAAAATGTTTTAAATGTACCTTGTCTCTGTTACCTAATACTGTACTTCCAAGAAGAGCTGGCCTGCAGTCCAAACTGCCTGCGCACTGAGTGATGAGGAAATTTCCAGAGGAGAATGAATAATTTTCAGTGTCTGCCTCTTTCACTGTCCGAGCAGGGACAGGAAAAGTGGATGAAAGTGCTCACAAGTTTGCAAAGCTCCTCACTATACCACAGCTTCTGGGAAGAAAGCTTTAAGTTACAGAATCCTAAATGTGAACCAAAAAGAAAATTAATCACTAACTAGGAGCATTGAGCTTGGATTTTGGGGTCTGTGAGGAGAACTGAGTAGGAGCAGTGAATGCTGCTGGGACATCCAAGATGTCCACTCCATATACTTTATGCAGCCTCATTGACTTTTCCTTTTTAGGAAAAGAAACACACACACACGACAAAAATGAAAAAGGAGTTTACCATCCCTTTCATCACACACACACACACACACACACACACACACACACACCTTGTTTTTCTCTTTTTGTTTTCCACTGTTAACATTTTGTTGCCTGTAAGCATTTTCAAAAGCAGTGGTCCATCAGGCCACTTGCTGCAAAATTTTTGTTTTTAAATCATGACCCCTTTAGCTGTAATGCCTGTTTGGCAGCCTCAACCAGAGGCTTATGATTATGAACGCCATACAAATTTTGAGTCAAAATTTGAAAACTGACTCTTACTGTCCATTACCTGAGCTGTGGAGTGTTCCTCAGGTTCTCTACCATGCTCTTATGAAAAACTGTTCTTGTTGCTCATACATGGAACTAAACCAAACCAACCAAGATATAGGGAATTAGGTAAGGCGCCCCCCACCCACTTCTCCCTCACTCCCAGTGTTATGGAGCCAGTTGCAACTGGTGGCCAACTGGAGTCCTGAGTGGGGTAGTCGATTAACTGGAAACCTCAAGTTACCGCTGCAGTCAACTGGAAAAAAAGGAGCGAATGCCTGTGCTGCGGGGCCCTGGGCCCGACTCTGGCTGCTACCCACATGACACAGAGCACATCGGTGCAGCAGTGCTCAGTCTGGCGGGTAGGCAGGCCCTCCTGCCCTGGGCAGATTTGCCTGGGTGGCGGAGTCCAGGCCACTAGCTTCAACATTGCTCAGATGCTGAAAAGTGAAGGTGAAGAGCTCAGAGGGAATTCTTCCTAAGGATTTGTGGGAGGTGTCTTTCCACACTTCTAACATGGAATCAATATCACCAACTTATTTGCTTCTTGAGAAAAAGCTTCCATCCTAGCTCCAAATTTTCTGTGACTAATAGTACAATGTTACTACTACTACTACTACCACCACCACCACCACTGTATTTCAGGAATAACATTTGTAATTATCTTGTGATTTTTTTTCTTAGGAAAAAGAAATAGATAAAAAGTTGCTTGATTTTTCAAGGTGGAAGGTAAAGATTTTAAAAATAAAATACAAAAAGGTTTTCATTTGTTGCAAATTAAACAATAAAGTGCAGTTGCAAGATAATAGGCTTACCCCACCCTACTCCTTCCCCAGTTCTTTTATAAAAAGAGAAAGAAGGAAGAAGGGTAGAAAAGAAGGGAGAAAGGAAGGGAGAGAGGGAGAAGAAAGAAAAGAAAAAAGAAAGGAAGAAAAGAAAGGAAAAATTCTATAAGCACAAAGTATGAGGACACATTTTATTGTTTACAGCTAGGATTGAAATTACATCACCCCAGCACAGCAAAGCCTCTTTGAAATAGCTGCCTCTCTGTAGGACACATACCTTAGTCTTGCTAAGATAGAAATTTGAAAGGGTTTGAAACTTCTTGAGAACTTCTCAAACTAGAGAAAAGAGCAGATTTTCTTTCTTTCTGTTAAACCCTGCCACCAGGATTATATTCTATAATAATTTCTTTCAGGTAATTTCATTTTATTGAGTTTGTAAAAATTTCAGTTTTCACCTGTTTTTTTTTTTTTTTTTATTTTCAAGGGAACAAAAGAGACGTACACTTTTTTCTTTACCTAACGTTAGCCTGAAGAATCTACTGAGTCCTATCGATTTTCCTCTCTTTGAACACAAGCTCATTAACCTGAAACACTAAGAGGATAACGATATTTCACTGAGCCTATAACTGAGCATCTGAAAACAAAAAAAATCCCAAGACAGTGATACAACTTTCTCCCTGAGATTACCAAATTTTTTTTTTTTGCGAATTCAGCTGGAGAAGCTATGACATTGTTACCTTAACCCAAAAGACTTTCACATCAGGTAAAGGAAGCTTTCTTTAAATTCATCCTTCATTGTAATGTTTAGCAAAGATTGAGGCTCCTCTCTTTCCACCAGTTTCTGCAGTCCTACAATCTGCACAGGGGGAAATGTCCTCCCCAAACAGGAGTACTGCTGCAACACCGAGCTCAGAGGCCTCCCCTAAGCTAATCGAACTAGGGACTGACTGAGCAGCTATCTTGGATATATGGAAATTAGGTCTTCTTAACCGCCCCCCCCCCGCCCCCAGGGACTTCCTTGCAAAGGAAAAAGCGATCAGGAAAAAATTAGACAACACAGACATCAGAAGCAGCCCGCTAGACAAGTCTCTCCAAGAAGCGCGATGAGTGGGGCTGCATGTCTTTTATCTTCCCAATCCAGGAGAATGAGATGTGACGCCACTCTTCCAAAAGAAAAAATTAAGTAACAATTATTTCACCCAGGAAACCAGTATAACATTTTTTGTGGTCTCGACTTTTATTATTTGAGATCTCTGATGAGATCAGATGATCTGTACCCTTTCATTCAAGGCAACAGACGTCTTCAAACTGTTTTTTAATTTGATTTATCCTTTGAAACAGAAAGTGCATTACATTTAACTGGTCTTGCAAGGGGGTTTTCTTCTCTTTACAAACCGAATTCCTTATATAAATTAATAAAGGTTAAAGATGCTAATATATCACCGTTATTAGCTTAAAAAAGAAAACAATTTACATATTCTGTAGTATTCTTATGATACAAAACACTTCAAATTCAATTACAGCAACTAAATGGATATTTTATGTTTCTGACCCAGAGCGGTTGTAACAATTCCCACCATCTACTTTAACACGCATTTTCATCAGAAAGGAGTTAAATTAAATACAAGCTATTGTAGCCCCTCCCTCCCCAATACTTTCTTAAAATCACTAATAAATAGCAACAAACGACTGTGCAATTTTAGAGAGGAACGGAGAGGCAGGTGTGGAGGCCCTCCCAGGTTCCCACGTCTACTTCCAGTACTGGGGGCAGGAGCCGGGTGCAGATCCAGAGGTAGGGACAAGAAGGGATGGAGGAAAAGTGAGATTCAACAAATCCAAACTGGGAGGAGGAGCGAGAGGGGATGTGGGAAGGAGAACATTTTTTTTTTTTCTAGCTTCTCAAATTAAATTCAAAATAAAAAGGGAATGTGTGGTTTGAATAGCTGTTTAAAAGGAATGGGTAAGAGGAAAGGGTCCATCTTTTTTATACGAAATTCAAAAAAGCATTTTACATTTTAAATATTCACAATAAAGTAACTTCTAGTCAGTGTGACTCACGATTTATTTACAAAGAGCCTTCAACAGGTTACGTTAGTCGGCACAGCAGTGGGGGGCGGTGGGGGGCGGGGAAGACGTCCCTCTTCCCCTCTATGGCGGCCGCCCGCCCGCCCGCGTGGCTCCGAGGTCCCCCGCGCGGTGGGTGTCGACCTTTCAAAAGCACCACTGGGCGCCGCCGCCCGGACGCCCACGGGGGTAAAAGCGGAGGGGATGGGGGAACCCGAGCGGGGCTGGGACTGTCGCCCAGCTGCAGGTATCAGTTGCGTTTTTTATGCAGTGCATTTCGTGGTTTTTCTTTTCTTTTTCCTTCTTATCAACCCCCCGTCTCTCTCCCCCGCTCCTCCCCCACCCCGCCCCCCGCAACTTCGAAGTTAAAAAAATAGACATGTACATCTCAGAAAACAGCGAAGGCCGGGCCGGCGGCGGCGCTCAGGACGAGCTCTCGTTCTCGGACGCGTGCAGCAGGAGGCCGCCGCCGCCGCCGCCGCCGGGCTTGTGCTTCTTCAGCAGCTGCGTGATCTTCTCGTCGTCCGAGTTGGGATCCAGAGGTTTGTTGTAGTCGTCGTCCTCCTCCTCGTTCTCCGAGGCCCCCTTGAGCCGCTCGGTCTCCGAGTCCTGCTTCTTCTTGGCCGTGGCCATCTCGGCCGCGTGCTTCTTCCTCCACTTGGTCCGGCGGTTCTGGAACCAGACCTGACGGCCGAGAAACGGGAGGAGAGGGGAGACAGGGGCGGAAGGGACTTAACGCGAGCAGATCCAGGCCGTGCGCCCACCGCCTCCTCTCCGTGTCCCTCTGCGGGCCCCTGACGGCCTGCCACCCTCCCTCCGAGACCTCCCTTGTCTGTGCCATCAAAGTCAGTCTCCGCAGCCCCAGGTTCCTCCGAGTAACAGGCACCAACAAACTGCTGTTGCCATAGCGATAGCAACACAAGAGTATTGAGGTTGTCAGCGAGCGACTTCTCAGATGCGTTAAAAACAAAACTTGGAAACTTAAAATGGGTTTCCCTAAAAATGAGTTCGCCTTCCTACTACCAAGTAGAAAACTCCTTCCCCTTCGTAAAGTTGCCCCACAGGGGCTGTGCTTTTATTTCTTCCTTACCTTCTTCGATTAAGTGTACTTGATTTTTAGAGTTATTTGTAGGAAAAGGCACAGCATTTACTCTGATTACCTTTGTTTTCCTTTTCACTTTTGGACATTTGTTTGTTTCACTTATCTCAGATCTGAATATGCACAAACATGGTGGGTAAACAATCTCCTCCCCATTTACAATATATGATGTAAAGCTTAAAAATACCTACTAAAATACAGCCTCAAATCACTCATAATAACCAGCATAAATGCATGAAAATATTTAATAGATCAGTCAACATCATCACAGTAATCTGACTGGCCTCTCCCCTTCCTCCCCAGTAATGTTTTTCATAAAACCAAAGTAAAGTGAAGGTTAGAATTATCATCGGTTATTTTTAAAAAGTGAAATTTTGCCAGTTACATTGTTTCCCACTATTAGCATGCCTAATCTTTCAAATATTATTTTACTATTGTTCCTGCCCAAGACATTAAAAATATACAAATATTTTAAGCCTATTCACGATGTTTGACACCGTGTTTGATACATCTATTTTAACCTAAGGCATCAGCAATAAGCAACCAATTTCCCAAAGATATTGAATTATCCTCTCTTTATGCTTTTCATCCGTTATGTATTTTATCTAGAGAACCAGAATTGTTATGAAAATTATTTTGACTTTCTTTATAAAGCTGTAATATTTCACTTCTAGCCATACAGACATATTTACGGTGACAAATGAAGACCTCCAGATTACTGTGGTAGGCTCTGTTCCAGCCCACTCAAAAATAATTTTAACTGTGATGGCATTCTAATGGCCACACACAAAATCACTCCTGAAATGTATTTTATGATGCTTGTCCAGTGGGAAATACACTGTAACCAGCAGAAATGGTTAATGTTATTCCTACTTAATTTAAAGAACAACAATATAGCTAATGAAAACACACTTACACCCCAAAGAAACAAATATAACAAAGTGAAAGAGAGGGACAAAAGAGAATATTGACAATACAGGAAACCATCAGATTGAATTTACAACTGGCTCAATCCCTTTAGTTTTCAGTGAAAGATTTCTAAAATTTGATTCTCTGGAAATATAGTGTACAACTCAATTATAAACAAAGTGGCATTTTAATTGTAAATTGTCAAAAACAGTATATTATCTTAAATCTGTTGATAAACTTATTTTTAAAAGAATTAAATCCTATAATACAGGAATAATCTTGTCAATTCACTTGGAAAATTACTATTACAAAATGATTGCCTTCAGCTGAGGTAAAAGAAAGTTCACCCGTGGTAAGTGGTTAGATTCTGTGGATTTTTTTTTTAACCACAAGTTAATATAGTAGCACTATAATGCTGGTCTACAGTAGGAAATTACATAACTAGTGGAGCCTGAATTGTCAAACAAAAGCTTGGATATCTTTACAAATAGAATAAATAGAAGCTATCTAACCAACCTGATCGATTCTCAGAGTTGATATTTGGGAAATGCTTTTATTCTCTAATAATGGCGTGTTCCCCTAGCACATGCTGCTATCTAGATTAACCTAATTTCAAAGGCGAGGGCTTAATTCCTTTTGTTCATCGACAGTTTGCCCACCCGCAAGACCCAACGCCTTTGTAACCCCCAATCCCCTTCGCTGATGTCAACTTCTCCCCGGGCTCCTCGGACCCGCACCCCAGACCCCCTCCCGGGCGCTGTTTGTTAGTTTGGTGGGTGTGTATACACGGCCAGAGCCTATCCCTTGAGGTATGCAAGGACCACTCACCTTGACCTGACTCTCCGTCATCCCCAACGAATAGGCCAACCGAGCCCTCTCGGGCCCCGCCAAGTATTTCGTTTGTTCAAAAGTCTTCTCCAGGGCGAAGATCTGCTGGCCGGAGAACGTGGGTCTCGTGTGTTTTCTCTTCCCGTCTTTGTCCAACAAAATGGATCCTTGATCTGCTAGAACCGATAAGCAACGAGGGAAGGGAAAAAACAATCGGTTACAAGTGGCTACCGGGGGGACGGGGGCACGGGCAGGAGACGAATTCGAAGAAGAATGTTTTGGTGGGAAAAGAATGCTCAGTATGTGACGGGCACCAGAAGTATCGTGGTGAGTCTCCCTGTGCCTTTTTACGGCCCCCTGTTTTTTAAACCCGGGCGCGTTTGGAGCAGCAGTAACTACCTTCTTCTCCACACCGACGTCAAACAGCTAGAGAACCTACGGCTGAAGTTGCGGAGCCGAACAGCGAGGCCCCATTAAACTGAGGAGTGCCCGAAAAAGGCCACTCTCCCGTAGCCAGTCGGTGCTCGCTCGGCCCCGGAGCTTTTGCGTAAGGATAACCAGGGAGTTTGGGGGGATTGTTGTTGTGGTTGTTGTTCTCCTTGAACGCTTCCCTAACCTGTATCCGGGGCAACAAAGGGCTCCTTGTTTTTGCACACCAGAGAGTTACATCGCCCCCAAGTCAAACGCTGCTACGGCCGAGGGGGAGGAGGAGAGGGCGCCGCCTTTGTTGGTGGCCCCGACACGACCAACAAAACGGATACAATAGCGTATCCCCGACACCCTCATCAGCCCCGGCAGCCCTCCATCACGGGGCTTCCCAAGGGAGCCTCCACTCGGCTGCCGCAACTTGCTGTAGTTACTGCCGCTCAGCCGCACGAAAGTGGTTCCGAGACTTGAAGAAACTTGGGGGACTCGGTCAAAAGCAAAGCACAGAGCGAGAAAAGGAGCCTGGCCTGGGTCCTGAATGCCACCTGGAGGGCTGGGAGCCTCCACGGCGCCGCGGCTACCCGGAAGACTAACGCGATCCTGGGGCAACTCAGTTTGCCTCAAGCAAGGTCTTTGCGGGATGTTACATTTTCTCCAGTCAGTGTCCCTTCACCTCGCTCTTCCCCCGGCTCTTTCCTATGTTAGGATGCTAAGCGCCACGATGCCCCTCCACGTGCCCAGGCCCATCGTGTCCCGGGCCCCGGGGTAGAGGCGGGAGGGGAAGAGCGGGCCCAGCGCTGAGGAACAGCCCGAAGAGCCTGGGCGCTCGCTCTCCTCTGGGAGCCGCTGGCCTGTCTTCAATGGGCTCACTGGGGCCGAGTGTACTCGGGGGACTAGGGAGAAGAGGTGAGGTGCGGACGCCCGCCCCGGGCGGAGACGTGCATGCAAATACACGCACTTCGCTCCGGGCGGTGGAGGGATCGCCGCTGCCGGTCCTCACAGGTTCGCAGAGAGGCAGCCGGCCGGGCTGGCGAAGGCGGAGTGGGACCCTGGCTGGAAGGGAGGAGCCGGAAAAGCAGGCGTGCGGCAGTTTATCCTCCCCTCCCCATGTCTCTACCCCAGGCCGGGTCTGCGGTCCCGGCCGGGCCGTTGCATGAGCAGCCGGGGCCTCCGACGAGACACACGTCCCACACCGCGTTGTGTTCCACATGGACACACGCACACAGGCTCAGCCAAGGCATGCCCAACAATTGGGGACAGGAGGGCGCTTGGACGCAGCCACGCGAGCTCAACGCCCTGGTCCAGCCTAAATCGTGCGATTCCGGCGCTGCCGAACTATTGGGGCCGGCCTGAGGGTGGACCGACCGGAATGCACACCAGGGGCCGTGACCCGAGGGCGGGCACAAGGGGGTACATCGGGCAGGCACCCAGGGCGCGGACGATCGTACTCACGAGGGGTGCAGGCCAGGCGCGCGTCCCTCCAGGGCGGGCTTTGCATCACTCCGGGCCAGAAAATCGGCGTCCGACCGGGCAGCTCGGCCAACGGCTTGGGGTACCGGCCCACAGCGGCCACGGCCGCAGCGCTGGGGCTGAAGTAGAGCCCGGGTGGCGGCGGAGGCGGGCTGAGGCTGCTGAAGCGGGGCAGGCCGGCCAGCAGCCC